AGGGCTTGACTTCCTGAATTCCCATTAGTCACAGGGTCCTCTGCAGTGCGGCCTGAGGATGTCCTCTCTGCTGCACCTCAAAGAAATGCAGTCTGAGGGGGCAGAGTGAAAACTAAGATCGCACTAACCAAAGCACTGGCCTGGTTACCTCTGCTGCCTGTGATGTGGCCTGTCAGCTTGAGATCTGGACATGCCCTTGATTTCCGAGGCAATGCTTCCATTTTCTCTCCTTCCCTCTCCTTGAAAGTCCCTCTCAGTTTAACTCACATTTGCCATTAATTGGTCAACTCCAGTATATAAAAGAGATAAATTAGTTTATATTTCTGCTGTTCCATTCATATCCGAGATTTATCTCACTAAGGGACGACCCACCGGAATCCTCACTTCCCACACTGCCTTGCAGCTGACAGTATGCATGAGCTGAGATTCCTGCCTTGCTCCTGGCTGCACTTGCCACATACATGATTAACTTCTGGCTGACCACTGTATAGATGCAGATATTTGCCATAACCCTTGCTCAGGCCAGGGGAACAGTCCCGGCTCTCTGTGGGCCAGGATCCAGTATGGCTCCTTATAACACAAATTCTAGCTGGTATCTGTAAGGAGACAGAGTGTGAAAGACTAGAATGCACAGAGTTGCCAAGGAGACTCAGGGAAATGCTGTGGCCACGCCAAGGAAAAGTGCAGCTTCCCACCGGAGGAGGAGGGGCCTTCTTGCTCTCCATCGGTGTCTGTGTGGTCTAGTCTCCTTTCCAGCCCCAGTATATGCCAGACATATTTATTTCCCAGCTAAAATGAGATATGCATGACGAGGTGCGCGAGTGAACAGGTATGTTTTGAATGATAACAATTATTTATAGAAATGATTTCAAAAGTTTTATAATCAATAAAAACAGACATTCCTATGTAGGCTTGTCCTTCAGGTTCCAACTCATAGAAATAAAGACCCAGATTTCAAATATCTGACTAATACTCCTGAGCTACAGATGACAACTTCTAAAAGTTAAAGAGCAATGAAGAAACCACAAACTAAAAACATGCCGGTCAGCAGGCATGACTGAAGAGGGAAAGAAGTCCCACCCATTCAGGAAACACAAATGGCAGGCACACAAGAGAGAAAATGATAGACCCTTCCCTCAAAATGAAAACATCAGACTTAGTAGGCCAGTAAATTGACAGTCAAGCCTGCACCTCCCACCCCTTCACCTGCAGCCCTAAATGATGGGCTCCTTAGCGCAGCTGCTACTACCATCCTAGAGGGGTCCAGATGGCCCACAGAAGCACAGATCAGCCTAGACCAGGCCTGGCTGCTGGGAGCCTTGGCTCTGAATTCTGGACTTCTGTATTTTAGTTGCCACTACACCTGTCACGGCTTCTACTAGGGCTGAGGACTCCACTGAGTGTGTGTGAGTGTGGCTGCTTGAGGACTGGCCTACGCTATTATTCTGACAGCAGAGAAAGCCCCTTCCAGGAACTATCACTTCTGAAGTTGTTATAGCAACCACCAGGGTGGTCTTAATTCGTCTTAGGGTTTCTGTTGCTGTGATGAAACACCGCAAGCCAAGGCACCTTGGGGAGGAAAGGATTCATTTCAGCTTACAGTTCCACATCATAGTCCATCACTGGAGAAAGTCAGGGCACTAACTTAAACAGGGAATGAACCTGGAGCAGAAACTAAGCAGAGGCCACAGTAAACTACTGCTTACTGGCTTGCTCCTTTTGGCTTGCTCAGACTGCCTTCTTACACAATACAGGACCACCTGCCCAGGGCCAGCACCGTCCACAGTGAGCTGGGCCTTTTCACAATAATAATTAAACAAGAAAAATGGCCATGGGCTCGCCACAGCCAGTACATTGGGGCACTTTTATCAATTGTGCTACGTCAGATTGACATAAAGCTAGCCAGCACCACGCCTGGCATATTTCCTTCAGCCCGTCATACAGTGATCCCTCCGCAAGTGTCCCTGGACACAGCCTCAGCACTCCAGTACCCCAACCACACTCTGGACTATGACCAGCATCCCCCCCCACCTATGACAGCCAGGGTAGGTAGGTCTAATATGCTTGTACAGGCTGCCATGGCAATACGGGAAGCCCATAGTGAGCAGCACACTGCGCATGAGCCTATCCTTTATGTCTACATAAGCAGCATTCATCCAGTCCTCACTGGGCCATGTCAGACCTCTGTTCCAAGCACAGCAGCTTATGCAAACCCCAGTATATCCATGTTCTTAGGGTTTCATCATCTGTTCATGTCTGCGACGGGGATTGAGTGGGCTGAGTTCCTTTCGCTGAGAGCTGGTAACACCAGGAGCTTTGGAAATGCTAAGCAGACAGAGTTGTGGAGAGAGCTGCCAGGAGCTACTGGCTCCGGTTGGGGACAGTGACAGAGAGCTGCTAAGAGGGCCGCCAAGAGCAGTCGTCAACACTAGCTGCTGACAGCTGCTGGGAATGGGAGCTCAGAGCTGCTGAGGCTTACCGCCGAGAGCCACTGACACATGAAGCTCAAGGCTGGAACACTTAAGAAGACGGACTTGGTGTTTTTCATGACTTCGACCCAATTTAAGCAAAAGAACAGCAGCTGACTGATACCATGTAATTCTGGCTACTTCACACTCAGGATTAATGTATGAACTACTGTACTATTCCACCCCACCACAAAGAGCACACGGATGGAAAGGCTCCTATAAACTGTCTAAACATCCTACCAGGCCAGAGTAAGTAATGTATTTCAAACTGTCTTATTTCAAATAACTTAAAAGCACCCACAGCCACTAGACAGGTCACATAACTATTCCAAGCAGTTGGAACCAGAACTCAAATTTCATCAACTCCATACTGAAAACTTCATAAAGATGATTAAAGACTTGGGAAGCACTAAGCAGAAATCAATAGCCATAATATGTGACTTATAGTGATATACAATGTGACTCAAGTGATAAACACCATACAAGCACACACACTGACACACATGGGCACAAATACATGTGCGCGCGCACACACACACACATGCAGGCATGGGTGCACACATGCCCCTCCACCAGCACACACACACACACACACACACACACACACACACACACACACACATATAGCAGACAATGTCTACTGGCAGTCAATATTTATTCCTATTCCCAAACCTCTTGTTGGAAATAAGTTGCTATGGTCCATTTTCAGTATGAGGTGCATTTAGAATTCATCAGAGTTACAGATGCTGGGGGAGCAACCCCTTCTGTTAGCTGTTGGCCCCTGGCTGTTTCAGAACTCTTGAGCACTGGACACTCACCGGCAATATTATGCTCCGCAACTAAGTCCACAATTAAAAAAGGGGGCAGTCTCAAAGTATTCTTCAGCTAAGTCTCCGGCCTAAACCGATAGGATGGGGAACTTCAGAAGAGGGCAAGTCTCGGCCTGAGGGATAAAGGGACAGAAGTTTCCAGGAACTTTAAAAGCCACTGTCCTGTGCTTTATCAGCACGCCAGTTGTTTGCCTTTTTTCTGTTTATCTCTTTCTGCAGAGGCAAGAAAACTGTGCTGCCCTCACTACTGTCTAGATTTTATTATCTTGCTTCTCATCCTTTCCCCTACTTCACAGACTGGAAAGCTAATTTGATTTCTTTTTTCTTCCTTTCCTGGGTCCTCTGATTTCCACTCCTGCTTCATTGTACTCACAGATCTCTAGACCACCCTTGTCTTGTTCCTAACCTCAGGGGAAAACACTACTCTCTTACTAATGATCCCAGTATTAGCTAAAGGGTTTTCACAGATACTTTTATCAATTTCTGGAAGGACTTTTGTATTCCTAGTTTTGAAAGTGTTTATTACATTCCTGTTTTTCTGAGACCTTATCAATTATGGATTTTATCATTACATGAAATGATGAGTATTGATAGATGCATCTCCATAAATGATCACAGGAACTTAAAATACTCCGCTGTTTAGTCTGCTAATATTGTGAATCATACTGATTTCTAAATGCTGTCAGATCCCTGGACTTTTGAAGTAAACAGCACTTGGCAGCACTATCCTCCTTCTGGCACTAAGGAAATCCAGTGCTAAGGATGCGTCTGTTACCAGGAGTCCTCAGTAGCTGACTAATTGGGGATGCACAGCCACAATGTTTCCTTTCATCACTGGAGTGCTGCAATCAGCAGCAGAACCTTTGATTACATCTGGATATGGGACGAATGGTCTGGTAGTTAGGAGCCCCTGACGAGGAGTGAGCACTGAAAATAAAGACGTTCTGGGGTGTACATGACCTTCTGACACGGTAGCACAACACTGCCATATACAAAGGTCATTCTTGAGAACTGGACAATTCCATTAACGGGGGGAGTCAGTACTGAAGAGATGGCTCAGCAGTACAGGGCACTGGCTGCTCTTGCAGAGGATCTGAGTTTAATTCCCAGCACCCACATAGCAGTTCAGAATCATTTGCCAGTGGATCTGAGCCCTCTTCTGACCTCTGCAGACACAGCATGCACATAGTACAGATAGATGCATACATGCAGGAAAACACTCATACACATAAATTTTTTTTAAAAAAATCTTATTTAAAAAAAATCGCATGAGGGGAATAAGAATAGAACGGTTTTGTTTTTTTTTTTTTTTTTTTGGTTTTTTGTTGGTTGGTTGGTTGGTCTTTCAAGACAGGGTTTCTCTGTGTAGCTTTGGAGCTTATCCTGAAACTTTCTCTGTAGACCAGAATGGCCTCAAACTCACAGAGCTCCACCTGCCTCTGCCTCCCGAGTGCTGGGACTAAAGGCATATGCCACCATTGCCTGGCTAGAATAGAACTGTTTAATAAGACATAAACCAGATACCCATATTACTTGCTTCACACAAAAATGAAATTAATATATCCAGTCATAGTTTTTCTCTTTTAACATCTCAAAACACTGATTAGAATCAAAGGCCTTGAGTTATTATCAATATATTAAATTACACTGCTAGTAAATACTAAGCCATCATTATCTTTTATGCTATTCAATTTTCAATTACATTTCTAGATTATGCTCTTGCTGATCTTGAGCGGCCTTGGAGCTAACAGGCTGGCACTCCTACCATGTAGGCTGACTTGTGGGCTGCAGAGGTCTTGGCAGCATCACCGCCGTGGCTCAGGTGTCAGCAGGGACAGCGAGCAGGATCAGAACTAAATGGGAAAATAAAGGAAATAATTAATAACAATAGCTGAAACATTCAAGTCTTCACCTAAGCCTGAAACCCAAATTTTACAACCCAACAATTTCACCAAAACAGCCCTAATCCCGGAACTACTAATTTTTTAGTTAGCTCAAGCAAAGATGTAATACAGTACATAAAGTTTTATTTAGCCCAGCTCCCTTAAGAAATTCTAGACGTAACTTCAAAGATTCATAGTTAGTAAGAGTTAAAGCGCAAAAGCCCCACCAATTGTACTCTAAGCACCTTCAGCTAAGTGATTTGATTTGTTCATTCAACAGTAAGAGTTGTTTTCAGGCACTGTTATCATCTACAGCAGTAGTCAAATAATATTGATCATTCATGTAAGGACTGTTCATTTTTCTCAACAATATCTGCATTTGATTAAATCTTGATAATTATGTAACAAACATTTCAGTGGTGAAAAACTGGAGATAAACACACACACACACACACACACACAAAAAAAAAGACAAGTCAGCCCCTTACAGACACCGAACACATAAAACCATCGAGAAATGACTGCTCGCGAAAGAGTCCAAACAAGACTGCATGGGAGATTCTGATGCAAATCTCTTCGTGTGAGACCTTGAGCACAGTGCAGCCCACGAGTAGGATGCACCTTGCCAAGTCCCTCTTAGTGGTCACCGGTGGCAGAAGTAAAACCTGGAAGGCAGGCCAGGCACAGGGGGGATAGCAGAAATAATACAGGTTCTGAAAGAGAGAAAAGCAACTTCAAGTCTTCCAAAAGAACTATCTGAACATGCCTCAGCTATACTAGTTCAGAAGACTTTGAGAGCCATCACTGTGAAGACGGCCACTAAACTTTGAGAACACTTGTCAAAGTCAGCTACGTACTTGCAATTAATTGTGAAGAATACAAGAGAAAACAGGCACTGGATAGATGGCAGGGAGGTGAGGAGCATCTGCCTACTGCTCCTGCACAGCAGGTAGCTCAAGACCAACTGCGACTCTAGCTCCAGGGCTCTGGCACCCCCTCCTCTGACCTCAACAGCACTCGTGGACACATATACGGCAACACACATGTATACATAAAACTAAAAAGAAAATAAACCTTTCTTTAAAAGATGGCCTTTTGCCCTAAGTAATTTGTATATGTTATCAATTTACTTATAAATACAGAAAATTATCCTTGGATTTTGGATTATCCAGGCGTCCTTTTTCCTCTACTAGAAATGCCATTGCCCCCACCTGATGCATGCTTTTGAACAGTTGGTCCCCAGTATGTGGCGCTGTTTGAAAAGGTTATGGTATCTTTAGGAAGTAGAACCTTGCTGTAGGAAGCACATCCTTGGGGTGAGCTTAGAGGGTTTAGGACCTCTCCCTCCCACCCCACCCCCACACACACACTTCCTGTTTTCTCTCCCTGCTTCCCATGTATGGTCGAGATATAACCTCTCAGGTTCCTGCTCCTGCACCATGCCACATGCCTTCTCCTCCACCAGAGACTCTATGCTTCGGGAACATTAAACAAAAATAAACTTCTTCTACCAGTTGTTCTAGCCATGGTGTTTTACCAGAGCAACAGAAAAGCAGCTAATCTACCAATACCTAGGCTCATTTTAGAGATGGATACAGCTAACTAACTGTGTCTCGGGGAAGGAAAGTGTCCAGTGTCACGGTTTCCGAATAATCAGTTATACCCAGGAAGTCTCCGATCTGTGCGGAAGTCTATCAAATCACTACTTTTCCTATTAGCTAACATTTGGTAAATACTGTAAACAGAACCAATCCTAGAACCAACATCACACATGGGTCCAACTTAGTTTTCAGAGGAGGCAAAACCCCTACTGCAGTGAAGAACTGGAGTGTCAGAGATGACCTGATCACAAAGGACAAGCAAGCACCCAGATGGCTGACCGAGATGGACACAGCACCCGTTACCAACTGGATCATGTGGTCTCTCTTCAGATACAAATACATGCAGTTTTCTTCCCTGCAAAGATGCTAACGTTTGAGAATTAACTAGATAGTGTTAGTGGTCAGAGCTATTACATGTGAAACAAGGCACAGCTAACAAGAGGTGAAATCCTGGTGCTGAAGAGATGGCTCAGTGGTTAAGAACACTGATTGCTCTTCCAGAGAACCTGGGTCTGAGTTCCAGCACCCATATGGCAGCTCACAACCATCTGTAACTCCAGCTCCAGAGGATCTGATGCCCTCTTCTGACCTCCATGGGAACTAGGCATGTATGTGATGCACATACATATATACATGCAGGCAAAATAGTCATACCCCATCCCCCACCCAGCTTTGGTTTTTTCAGACAGGGTTTCTCTGTTTAACAGCCCTGGCAGTCCTGGAACTCGCTTTGTAGACCAGGCTGGCCTTGAACTAACGGAGTTCCACCTGCCTCTGCCTTCCTGTTAGGATTAAAAGTGTGTGCCACCAACCGCCAGGTTCTAAAAACAAATTTTTAACAAGGTGAAATCTTGCCAGCTCAGGGGCACGCGGTTCCAGCTCTTCTCATGCTCAGGGTTAAACCCAACAATCCCGTGTGTCTACCATCCAGGACGGCTCCCCACCAGTTCCCGCCCGTCATGTTCCTTTGTCAGGGGCACTGACATGTTCATACCACTTCTAGCTTCCAGGCACCCATCTCTACCCTTTAGAATGCAGCCTAGTCCTGGCTCTTTCATCCCCTTCCACACCATACTTCTTAATCGATACATTCGCAGTCACATGTCACACAGCTAGTGTGTTCCCACTCTGCGATGACCAAAGCCCCATCCTGCATACCAAAGTGTTTCTCGGTACACCAGAAGGAGCAAGTGAGGTTTCTGGTAACAAGTACTTTACAGAGGTTACAATGGTGCAAACCAGCACAGGGCAGGGGCCAACCACCTAGAGGGAGGCAGTGGACGGGCTATGGATTCAGAAACTGACTTTGAATCATAATTTGGATGGCTGGTGACACAGCCCTGCACTAAGATGAGGGAGACGTTTACAGGGAATAAAGAGAGAGACAGGTCATGATCAGAAGTGGAAGGGAAAGCCAAGCTTTCTTCCACACTGGGGAGTTGAGGAACACCCCAAGGTATCCTGCCCACCTAAGATCCCTGCCGTGAGGGAAATGCTCCAAAGAATAATGCTGAAGCAGACAGCCTCCAGCTACCTGGAGCACTGGGTCTGGGGGCCAAAGACCCAGCTAGTATGATGGAGGGACTTAAAGTTTTATTTAATTTTAATTAATGCTAACATAGCAATAATTTGAAGCAACTGGACACTGTGTCAAACAGTGCCACCCTGGGGTTCTGGCTCAGATAGTTGGATAGAAGCTCCTATTACAAGTATCTAAGAAAGAAAGAGTGTGAAGAATAACACGCACACATTCAAGTATTCACTGACTCCAAGAACAAACAAATCAGTAGTGAAAGGGGTGGTCTTTGGGGAGCTACACCCCCTCCAAAATCACATCAAAGATGGATCTACTCATGGCCATTTGGGCTCTGATTAACGACCTCAACATGGCAGCACCAAAATGCACTCTTGTGGTCTCCAAGTAACTGTTAAAATGTTGCTACCAAATAAAACTTGCTTATAATGAGTACATCACAGAGCCATATTGAGTCACAGCATTGGATAAATAACCACCTAGTTTTAGTATTGTTATTGCTTTCAAGTCTTTTCCTAAAAGCAAGAGAGGAGAGAAGGAAGAGGACTAGCCTTTTACGATAACGAACATGAGTTCAGGTAACTTCAAATGCACTTCAGAACATTTATGTCAACAGCACCACAAATTACCTTCAGTCTCCATTTCTCAGCCCCCAGCATGAAAGACGACTGGATGACGCTCAGGAACTCTTTTCTATGGGACATCTTCCAAAGCCAATGATAATCAAATTTTCCCTGGAATCAGTCGACTGATCTCATTTGTTCATGGCATTTAAAGTCAATATGAAATAAGGAATTCTGTGCTATGAAAATGTTTCATGTCAAAACAGACTGTGTCTAAACTGCTCACTGTTAATCTGCCCAATTGCCCTAATCTGATTGCATTAAACCTGTTGACTATTTTGGTCCACGACATGGCTCTTAAGCCTCCCAATCCTAGCTTCACAGCAATCAGAAGCTGACATACACATGATTCGCATGTGGCTCCTCCTGGGGCGGCTGTTTGCTTGCTTGCCTCATTTCCATGTTCCTCTCTCTTAACTAGACCCCACTTCCATCTACCAGATAAGGCCAGCAGTGTTCTCAACTATTCACAAATGAAGTTCTGTTTGCAACACCCTGCTCAATCCCATAAAACGTGCGGCCACTATTAGTGTTGGAAAAGCACACATCATAAAGCATGACATTACAGGGAACCGGGGATATAGTTCAGCACAGAAAAGGAAGGACAGAAGGAGAGAACGAGAGAGGAGGGGGAGGAAGGGGAGGGGAAAGGGGAACAGAGAGAGGAGTCATGAAGCATATGTCTCACACCAAGAGCAGCTTTTGTGTTTTCTCTGAGGTCTCTGAAGTTTAGTCCTCACTGAATTACACACCGACACCTTTTACAGCACAACAGCAGGACCATGTTTACCTGGCCCCACGACTTAATACAACATCTAACTGAACTGTTAAGAGATGGTGGGGGAGCCACTGTTGAGTAACAAGAGAAGGTCCTTACCCTTACAAATCTTTACTAAACTTTTAGGAAGACACAGGTAAATATAAAACCGGTAATGGAGGAGACAGTGGAGTAAGCTCAAATAAAAACACCAGGTGGCATGTATTAAGTGTAGCAAATCACACTGCCAGCTAATGCTTTTGCATCTGAAAATTCTTTTTAGATTATTTTATCTTATGTGCATGAAAGTTTTGTCTGCATGTATGTATGCACACCACAAGTGGGCCTGGTGCCCATGGAGGTTAGCAGAGGATGTAGGATGTCCTGGGAACAGGAAGTGAGGATGGCTGTGAGCCTGATATGATATGAAGGAAGGAAAATCAATTCCTGCCATA